CTCGGGGGCCCCGCTGCCGCAGCCGCGTCGCGCTGCTTGTACATCTCGATGAGCGCCGCCGTGCGGCCCGGCGCGATGCCCGCAGCAGCCGGCTTAGGCACGGGCGCGGCGATCGTGATGTCGACGAGCCCGCCGAGCGTCATGCTGTCCGTCCTTGCGGGTACGCCGGGCTCGGCGCTACTCGGCAGCCGCATGTCCGGGACGTCGATGATGCTGCTTGCGCCGGCTGAGTCCGCGCGGCGCAGGACGGATGGGTACGGCACCTCATCGCTCGACGCGCTCTCCGCCGACGACGGCCGTCGGCCGTTCTCGGGTGCGACGCCCCCGCCCCCGCGCCGGCGGTCCGGGTGCAGGTCAAAGTAGCCTAGCCGGCGCCGGGTAGCTGGCTGCGGCTCCTGATCGTCCTCGTCCTCGTCCGTCGCGTCCGCGGGCGTCCGCGCGTCATCCGCGTCCATCTCCGACCGGTGCGGGACCGTCATAGGCTCGATGCCGCCGTAGGTGTCCTCGGCGTCGTCATCCCCGGCCTCCGACATCGGTCGTACGCCCGCGAGCGCCCTCGCAACTTCGATGCTCGCTTCCTCTGGATCGGACCTTGTCCTGGGCAGTGGGCGTGCACCTACGGGCCGCGCGCGGATCTCAACGTCCTGGCCAGCCATCCGCCTGCCGTGGTTCGCGACGAGAATATCGACCCACGCGTCGTCCTTGCTCCGGCGGCGCCCGTCCTCGGCAAGCTCATCCGTGCTCGCGAGCCGCGTCTCGAAGTCAACGTCCTCATACTCTGACGGCGGCAGGCCAGACGTCCTGTTCGAGCTCGAGCCGGGCATTGGCAGGCGGAAGCGTGGTCGGCGCGATGGCGACGCAGCGCGCAGCGGGCTCGGTAAGTCCGTATCGCGCGGACCGACGTAGAGCGGCGCGGAGATCTTCGTCATCGTCGCAGGGTTCTTCGTCGTCGTCGTCGCAGGGTTCTTAGTCGTCGTCGCGGGGTTCTTCGGCGGAGGCGTTGGCTCGGCCCTGGCGGTCGCGTCCGATGCGACGCTAGCCGATTCCTGCGTCGCAGTGGACGCGCGTGGCTGCGCGGGCTGTGTGGCCTTGACAGTGCCAGACCGGTCGAAGTGAATGACCTTCGTCATGCTCTGGTTTCCGCGCAACAGGCCCTCGAACTCGACTTCGCGCACGCTCGGGCTGGTCGGCGTCGCACCGACGACGTACGGCCGGCCATTGAGCGTCGCTGCGGGTTTCCAGGGCTTGCTCTTGCTGGTGCTGAAGAGGAAAGGGATCCTGCGCTTGTTCTGCACACCTGCGCTCAGCTGTTGGCGATACTCGAACGGCACGAATTCCTCAAAGAGGAACACGCTCGTGCTCGTCCGCGGATCCGCCCCGCCGGGCACCATGCTGCGCCCAACGGGGAGCGACCTGTACTCGACGAGCGCCCAATTGCACTCGCGGTCAACGTCCTCCTCGCGCTCAAAGTCCATCCATCCGCCTCCGTACACGAGATCGCAGAAGACGTCGATGAACGCCTCCTCGATGACCTCCTCCGGGCCCATCACCGGCTCCGTATCCCAACCGAACGGCGGCAGCCCGCGCTGCGTCTTCTTCAGCTTCCGCCGAATCTCGTCCTGCTGCTCGGGCCACGCCTGAATCGAGCTCGAGACGGGCACGGAGAACTCGAGCGTCGCGTTTAGCGGCGCGTCTGTGCGACTGAAGCCCGTCGTCGAGAAATCCGTCCACGTCAGCGTCGTGCGCTTCGCCGCACGTGCCTGCGGGGGCCATCAGCACGCGTGAATGAACGAGGACGGCATGATGCACCGTGCGCGCGCTCTCAGTCAGATCAAACTGCAGCTTCTTCTCATCCGAGCCCAGCCCGCCGAACCCCATCACCTCGAACTCTCCCCACTTGAGATCCGTCAGGCTCTTAAACCGCTCGTCCTCCTTTCCCAGCCCAAAGTAGTCGTCATCGAGCAGCGAGCTCGAGCCGGACGACGTCGTGCTCGCGCTCGAACCCGCCGTCGCTGTCTGCGGGTGGAAGTTAGCAGGGAGGTCCATACGCTTGCGGTACGCGTCCGAATAGCGTGGCGGGAGCTTCAGCGTCGGAGGTGTAACGCGTTCCCACTCTTTGCTCGCACCGAAAGTGGCTCCTGGAGCGCCGGCGGCCGGTAAACGCCCGGCCCACGTCGACGCGCTCTTGACGAGGTCGGGTGTGTACATACGCACGTTGCGGCGAACGGAGATGACGCGGACGGTGCGCGCGCCGCGCCGGGGCGTCAGGCGGTCCTGCTTCTTTGCGCGCTCGGGTAGCATAGAAGGGTAGCCGCGGATCCAGTCCTTCAGGCGGGCGGGCACGCCGAGGCTCGCGGCAGACCCGGTGCCGATCGAGTTGGTCGAGTCGTTCGACGGTGCGTCCTGCCAACGGACGAAGGCGAGCAGGAGGTGCTCCATAGCGTTTGTTGCGCGGAGATAGTGGACGTAGGCATGCTGGAAGGCGAGCGCGGGGGAACCGAGGCCGAAGAGGAGCGGACCGAAGAGGGGCGAGAGCGTCGGCGGGGTGTGGCCGGACGATGCCGAATGTGCGGTGAGACGGGCAAGGAGGGAGAGGACGTTGAAGATGATGCCGCGGAGGAGGGGATCGAAAGGTTCGAGGAAGGTTCCAAAGTGCGTTGGGGGATAATTGAGTGCTGGGCATCACGGTTAGCGCGATCCGCCACCCCCCTAGAGATCGGAACAGTGGAGACAGAACGAGGGCGGACGCCGTGAGGCGATGTGCACCGTGACTGACACGGAAGAGTGCCGCGCGCTTCGCCATCGCATCAAGAGTCTGTGCGATAGGAAGTCCGCGCACGGGGACGGGACGACACGTGAGCGCGCGCGGGTCAACGTGCTCGCCGCATGTACGTGCGTACGCACGCATGCACACACGCAGACCACGCACATCGGAAATGGGAATAGCGAGCGGCATACAACAATTGCGCCGATCTCGCAGACAAAGAAGAAATCGCCGGCCGAAGCCCCTGTCCGCACCTAGCGCTCGTCACAGAGGCTTCGCGTCGGGGTTCCGAAGCAGGCGGTGCGTTTCCATCTGCGGGCTCTGCGCCGATGTCATCATGACGCCGCAGTGTGGATGTGGCAGGCGACGGCGGGCGCACGGAAAATCGAGGGAACGGTGGCGGGGAAGGGAAGGGCGGGAATACGCGAATACTCACCGACCTCTGCCTCCGCCCACTCGAGGTAATTCTCCCACGGGATAAAGCCTCGAACGGCATTGCCTCCGACGACGCGCACGACGCGGGCGAGGCCCCAGCGGAGGCCCATGCCGAGCTGGTGGGGGCCTGCGAAACGGACTTCTTCGCGCCATTGGTGCTCTGCGTCGTTTACGGGGAAGGGAACACATGTGCGGAGAAAGGCGTTGATGAGACGTCGCACGCCCTGCGCGCTGACGTCGAGAGCGAGAGACGAGAAGATGAAAGGAGTGGTGAGGCCACGGTTCCCGAGCTCTTCGGTAAGGGCGCGGACGAGGCGGTGGACTTCTTCGAGGCCGAGGACGATGTGGCGCTGGTAGGAGAGGTAACCGTAGTCCTGCTCACGGTCTGCCTGGTCCTGTTTCTGACGATTATAGAGCTGAAGAGCGTGAGCACGGGTGGCGGCGTCTGTGTTCGGGGGAAACTGGGGTTCTACTGGAGCCTGCCTGGCGCGAGGCTCGAGGCAGAGGGGGAGGAAAGACCCGTCGGGGATGGAGGGTTCATCATCGTCCTGGACAGGACCCTTGCGACCCTTTGCCTTGTCTTTTTTCGGAGTGGCCGGCTTGTCCTTCTTTGATGAGAGAGAGGCGATGACACGGACAGTAGAGCCGCGGGAGACGATGCGACCGAGCTCGTCGTAGACAGGGCCGGCGGGAGAAGTGGGGTCGGCGGGAAGGACGACTTTGGAGGGAGTGGACGCTGTTCTGACGCGGGAGAAGAGGCTCGGCATCGACACCTTGGCTTTGCGGGGCAGACGGGGACCTCGCGAGGGACGCGGAGGCGGGAGGCTGAAGTAGTTGCTGGTCGGACAGGACAAGGCGACGGAAAGCTCGCGACGGTGACGGTCTAGGCACAAAATTCCAAAGACGCCGCTTCCGTTCCACGTCTGTCCTCTCGTCCTCCATCATCTCTTTCTTCTTTCCGACGTCCAACTGCCTCTCGACCTCTCCGAGCCTTCTCTGTTCTCCGCTTCTCTTCAGTCTTGCACAGCTTCTCTCCCATTTTTCCTCGACCCTCCCATTCATTCGTCCCATTTCTCCCCTCTTCCCCATCCAGCGACCTCCCCGGCCCTACTGGCTCTCCGCCGCACTCAGAAGGGCCGCCGCAGCCACCGCCTTCCAGCGCCCTACGCGCCAAGCCAACTCTGCCGCGTAACCCCCAACTCTATCGGACACTTCCCGGCACGTATCCGACCCATCATTGAATCCAGCGCGCACGTTCCGCGTCCTGCACGTCATACCTGTATACCCGCGGGCTGCACCGATTTACAGCCACGTACTGTGCGGAGTGCGGTCTTGACGACGCCCGGCTTGCATGATTGCCGGCGGCTCGAACACGGCCCAAGCGGCCTGTGCCGCTTCCCCCATTATAGTCATTGTGTCTACACCCGTATCGAAAAGAGATAGATCCGTTGCTTTAAGGCGCTCCATCGTACAGCTCGTGGGGATCCAGCGTGCGTCGCGAATGCACTCGTCCACTCCAATGCCAAACCAAAAGGGAGAGCGCTGCCTTGTCTGCGAAGAAGACGCCAATGAGCAGAAGCCAGTCTGACAGTCGCCCGCCTTCTTTTTCATTCTGGAAGCGTATCGCGCCGACGGTCTGTACGCTCCTCGGATACGCTATTTGTTGTAGGCCGAGCCGAGCGCAAAGTGAGCCGAAGCTCAGGCTGAAGCTTGACTTCTGAGATGGTAACCGGTGCGGCGCTTTCTCGTCGACGCCGAGACCAAGCTGCCCACACAATGGACTGCACGGCGCAATGTTCAAGCCGCCTTGGCGTAGTGGTAGCGCGTCCCACTTGTACAACTGCGAGCGATCGCAGGGGTTTGAAATGGGAAGGTCACTAGTTCAATCCTGGTAGGTGGCATAAAGTATATGGACAACGAGGATATTTTTTCTCGTTTTGTCCAACGACGGTATCACTGCTTCCTGAACCCGTGACTGTTCCAAGAGTGTAGAAAACCCGGTGAATAACACACTTCTAACTGTGAGGCACCCAGAAAATCCCCAAGACATTGTACAATGTCCCCACCAGACAGATTGGCACGAAAATACTAAGAAATAGTTTCAAACAGCATATTGCACCTTTCGCCTCCTCCCGTCCCACGTCCCCTCACCCTCCTTCTCAGGCGTATAAGGCGTGTCTGGTGAGCTCGGCGCGCCGTCCGAATCCGACGTCTGCGTATCCGGAAGGTCGACCGTCGCCGCCTTCGCACGCGCAGGTCGCTCATCGAACTGCATCGTCGTGAGCGTCTCGTGCGCGAGCGTATCTGCACGCCATGCACGGCCATCAGCGAGACGATAGATAATCAAATATGTTGATATTTGCTGCGCACACGCGCATGTCAGCGTCCGCGTTCGCCGCGGGTAGATAGGAGTGGAGAAACAGGCGCGTACCTGCGACGATTGCGCCAACGTGAGGAAGATCTGGTTGATTGGGTTGCTCACCGCGTACGAGATGAGGAAGCCGAGCGCGAAGAGTGAGTATAGCGTCGCGCTCTCGACGAGCACCGTCGCGAGTGAGAGGTAGTGCCGCGCGTGCGCGGGCGGAAGCGAGCGCAAGAGCGTGCGGCGGTACCAGAGTAGACGCGCGACAATCAGCAGCGTCAGGACGACGTTGATCGAGAGTGAAATGGTGTAGTAGGATATTCCATATGCCATAGGCAGCGCGGAGTAGAAGGACAGGCCCGGCTGCGACGATTGCAGCGTCCAGAGCGTGCCCATGACTTTCGGTCCGTGCGTCAGCTCGTTCAAAGTGTGTAGCAGAGAGAGACCGACGCACCGAAGGAAGCAGTCAGCATGAGCGCGGGGAACGCCGTCGCGGTGTATGCCGCCGCACGCCCCGCCGCGCGCCATATGATCCAGCACCTCCACAACACGAGCGCATCGCTCAGGAAGTTAATCATAAAGAGCGTCGCCTCGAACATGACGTTCACGGACAGGTTCTGCGACGCGAGGAAGTACGCCCAGGGCCCACCGGGGTAGTTGCGGTTGTCGATGTAGACGAGCTGGACGGTGTAGGCCTGCACACCGACGAAGATGGTCGAGACGGCAAGCAGGGCAGTGATGAAAGCCAGGATGAAGAGCGCATGCGTGCGCGCTCGCCGCTGCGTCCAGAGGTAGTGTGCGCAGTAGACGTACATGACGAGCTGGACGCCTGCCTTGCCGGTGAGGGAACACAATATGTAGGAGGGAGACGGGCGCACCATAGCCGACCCCGCAGAGGAGATCGCCGGCGACGAAAGTGCGTTCGAGGAAAATCGTCGTCGCGTCTTCGTCGGGGCCGTAGTAGGGATTGGTGTTATTGGTCATTGCAAAGGCAGAGTGAGCAGAAAAGAACGGAAGGTTATGGTACAGGTGAATGAAGGAGGTCGTCAAATGAGGGCAAGAGTCCTCTGCGGGCCTCACACTCCTATGGGGTCCTTCATATACGGTAGTGCCAAACGCGAGAATGAGAATTCCTCCGTTCGCAATAAAACTGTCGGGCGCTGGTCGTGTGCGTCGATAATCAAGGCACTTCCTCGCTTTATGGACAGATTAATCTGTCAGGCGAGACAGCGCACCAGAGAACACACATCCATCTCCAGAAATATACAGCTCTCCTGAGAGAAATGTTGGACCAGTAGGCAGCCTGGATCTTGTCACTGCGCCGTATGTGCGGACACCGCGGCGCAGCGCGTCGCTTGGTGCTGGTGAGCGTTTACTGCACGCACGTAAATGTGTCGACGACTGATGAGAGGGGGCATGGCGCAGACTCATGCATTGGGTCGCGGCGATGAAAACGTGAGCAGCTATGGAAGGTGGTTGTCCGAAAAGGGGGCTGTAAGCGGGAGCTCACACAAGGGACAAGAAGGCCTGTCTCGTTGCACTATCTGACAGATAGCGCGATGGAGAGTGTACGTGCTCCTGTCGCTTATGGACAAAATCCCCACCTTCGAGACATTGACACATGTGGAAGATCAGAAAGTCGTGTTGCGATGTTTGGCCAGGGCAGGATCACAGAAACTGTCACCACGGCCCAGCATGGTCCTCGCTTGATTTGAAAGGGCTTGCAGTGACTGCTCTTCGCATCTGCCTGGTTACCCAGCGACGAGATGCTATTTGCACGAGAATGAGGGAGATGCCCCGCTGAGACAAACAGGATAGATAAGATCGGTGGTAGTCCAAAGACGGACTGTTGACCCGGTAGACCGCGGACACAACATGATGCATGATGATGGTTACTCCGGTTCTCTCCTCTCCTCGGCTCTACTATCGTGTCACCTGATGTGAAACCACGCCAAAGTGTGGTAGTACTACAAGTGTAACAAGCAAAGAACGACCCTCCTTAGCGCGTCCCGCGTTTGTTACATTAACCCTAGGAATCTACACACGACATTCCGTAGCATTTATCTTTCTTACTCTCAAGTATCGTAGGGAAATTGGCAGACAATACCCCTCAGTAAAGGCAAGAGTAAAGGGAAGACACAGCGGTTCCCTGTTGTACTTCCCGCACACTCCGTTTCGCATCAGATGACACGATAGTACTACAGCCCATCACGTATATCAACGCTTACGGCACCCATTACAAGCCAATAGACGAGGATAGCTAGTACAGGCCTATCATATACACTTTGAGAACGCTTGTGAGAGTGGAATGTCTTCTTGGCAGTATCATCTTCAAGCCAGAAGTGCTCTTCCTAGGGATCCCAATTCCTAGTATCGGAGATGTTTAGTTGTCAAAGATCTTAATATGCAAGGCCCAGAGGAAATATTAATGTTGCAGGTTGCTTTGTGCTTATGTTGGCCTAATCCTGAACCCTCCGTCAAGGCTCAATGGTCTAGTAGTATGATTCCTGCTTCGGGTTATGCCCCCACGAACTAGTGGAATATGCAGGAGGTCCCGGGTTCAATTCCCGGTTGAGCCCTTTTGTTCTACTTCCTCGTGACATACTCGAGCTGTGAGGCTTCCATATTGCTTGCTTTGTGCCATCATTTATAGTTCACGTGTTCTGCTTTTCTCGTTCTTTTGGTTCCTGCCCTTCCTTGCGATGCTCGCGCGTCTTTTTTGCATCCAAGCACGCGAAAGGTATGACGACGCAGCGAACCAATGGAGGCTCCGAGGCATGCCCGGAACGAAGCTCGTGATGCGGCGTGCATGTCCCTCGAGTCGTCTCCTCGGTTCGAGGATTGCAGATCGCATCCTTCGGTACCCCGCTCTCTAGGCGCAGGAATACTAACTGTGCTCTGTCTTGCATCCCGTTCGCACTATCTCCGACGGTGATTCGCATAGCTGGTCTTCATTCCGGGTCCTTGGGACTCGGAGTCCCCGCGAAATTATCGTCTTTATTCGAATGCAATGAAGCAACGTTCCAGCGTCGCATATAATACGAATACAAAAAGAGTCCAGGCGGTTCTGCCCTGGGAGCCATCTCATCTCAGGCCTCTCAGCTCTATGCCATGGGTATACGAAGCATTCGGTGGTCGACACATTTCCTGCTCAGTAGATGCCTCTTCAACCCGCTCTTCCGAGAGATCCCAGAACCACACAATGGGCAGGAAATGCGACCTTTGCGTCGATGGACTTCACGTACGTGTCTTTCCACTGACGAGCTCTTCGTGAACGTCTCCGGGCATTCCCAGCATTTGATATCGCCCATTTTCCCACGTTCCTGAGGCCTCTGGTGTCGGTCACGTATCTGGTTCGTATCATGCGGCCATGCGCGCAGTTCTCCACCGTATCGGGGAGCACCTGGGTCAACCACCTGTGATACAATGTCCTCTAGATGCATCGCGTCGCCGAGGTGCGGACATGTTGTTAATCCGGGTGTGCTTCTGAACGGGGGAGGGCTCGCGTATTCGCTCAGAAAGGGCAATCCTGTTCTCATATAAGCATACATGCTGCCGTAATATCTGACACTTGTCACCTTTTGCATGAGATGTAGGTTTATGAGTAGCATCTTCAGGGCTCGCCACTGGCATGTACCCCCAATGGCAGAGGGATACCGGCTGCCATGTAGAGGTGCAAGTTTCTTTTTAAGTCTACTGCAGGCGAGAGGAGACGTCAACGTACGTTCATTTCTTTAAAGGACGACAGGAAAGAAACGTCTGATTGCAGGGCATGTTTGTAGGAGAGGTGTACACCACAGGGGAAGAGCTGGGGTGGGGACAGATGCCTGTATGAATCCATGAACTGAGAGGCTCAGCTGCCCGACCTGGTACCATCACCCTTCTCTGTCATTTATACCGCTCACATCCCCTAAGAATAACAATCGGGGGATTTCTTTAGCACCTCAGTGGTGCTGAGACGATCGGAAACCGTGTCGACCATGGCTCGCAGACTGACTGGCGACGAATCATGATATTCATGGCTTTAATGGTGCGGTCCGGTGCATACAGGATAACTTGAATGCATCCCTGCCGTACACTTTGCGTACATCCTTGGAGTTCTTGATGTCTTCTTTTTGCCATACAGGTACTGCATTGATTTAGTGAGCACAGGTGATCCTTCTCATGGAATGAACCTCTTTCTCGGACGCGCCAGAGAAGGTAATACGCACCATTCGAAATTACAATGGATGACGCATTGGGTGGATAACGTTGACATTACGAAAGGAAGTTCGCGCATGATTATTTCCCTTCCCGTTTTACAGAGCCCGTCATCACGATCCAATTACAAGCATCCACGGATATCCATTACTTACCTATCGTGATAATCTATTAGAGCGGGGTGGGCCCGGTGTGTCGTCTTCACATTGCATGTGATCTAGCTAAGGCAAGACGATTCTCCTAAGAAAATATTGTGTACATGAGCATGCTCTGATCTTCCAGCGAAGATGTGAGGATCGATGCATACTGATGGCTCCAAGTATGCATGGGTTCGTGTACACCGCGTCCCAGTACATTGAAAACCATTCATTAGTGTGCAGACCATACAAGAGCCTACGACTCGGATACAAACGTTGAAGCGAGGACGGTGCAGCCAGGATTACATCAAGTTCAACGGCTCCTCGACTTCCTCCTTAATTCCCATCTCGACTGGGAAAACTGTCATGTTGAACTTGGTCAAGGTGAGCCCGAACCTATCACGCAGGCGCGGCTCCCAGCCAGTCGGGAGGCGCTCCTCGATCAAAAACGTGGCGAGATCACGGGTCCTTCCGCCGAAGATCAGGAGTAGCGTTGACGCGCTGCAAACCCGTCAGTGCTGAACAGGAACGAAAGGGTGGGTGACGCACTTGGATGAGCCGAAGTTTTTGTGCGTAAAGTCTTGGGAATACTGCGGGTTGTTCTGCTTAGCCTCGACGCGCCGTCTCCCGATAGCGCGCGAGAGATCGGCTTTTGTGAGCGTCGTGTCAAGGGCGATCTTGTCCGTGAGCGCATTGTACGGCGCTTGGGGAGCGTCTGTTGGATAGTGAACTTCTAATTTCGGAGGCTTGGGTGCAGGGCCAGTTGCACAAGCGAGGAACTCCGTAACTAGGCGTGCAGAAGGGAGTCCCTGGTAAAAGGTATGGAATGTATCGTCTCCTGCACAGGGTGGCAGCGTCAAACGCTGAGGCACGAGGAATGGGTACAATGACGTACGGAAAAGCGATGCGTCGTGCTCAATCCCATTATGTACGTCAATGTCAGCGAGGTCGAACCTATCATTGGTGTAGGAACGTCCCAAGATATGCGCGATGTACCGAGGAACGAAGAGACAAAAGGTGGGGGAAAAGTTGTAAGATTTTATGATCTTCTCTGAGAGCTCCTTGAAACTGATATTGCGGCCGTCACGGGCGATTATACCTTGGGGTCAGGAGCACAGCCGTTAGCAACCTTCAAAGAAGAAAATGGGATTGACCGACCGTGATTGGCCATAGCGTTCAAAGCGGGACATGAGCAGCGGCTTGCGCCCTTGGCAGGTGGTATGTATTCGGGCCAGATCCCGCCATGACCATCATTGCCTTGATATACGACCTTCCCTTCAGGTCGCTTTGGGGTGACGATGTTCAGGATGAAGAGGGAGAAGTCCCAGCCCATAAGCCAAGTGAAGTAACCAAGCTCAAACACATTGCGCACAAGGGCACGCGATAGCCGACGGACGGTGAGGATGAAAGTCATCCTAGCTAGATAAGAGGGAGGGGAAGAAATTGACTGAACACAAAACCGCTGGCCGTTATAACTGCGAACATGACACTTACGGGGAAGCCTTGTCTCGTGTCGTGCATGTGGCGTGGCCGAGTCCGTGGTCGTGATATCCGGTGAAGATCTTCCCCATTCCGATAAAGACGATGTCATCGCCTCAGGAAAGTGTCGGAGTTTATTCATTCACGACCGTTATTAGAATTGGCCCGCTCCGAGAACATGACGACAAGACTCGAGTCAGCGCCAACGGGCTCAAGCTTGGGCTTGAGACTGCAATCTCCCCTTCATTGCAAACAGGAAAGCACGGATACCCAGCGTGCATTGTGTCCGGGACTTTGCGTATGCCGTCTGTTGTTCATTCGCGCGACCGTGACTTGGGGCCGCGGCCGCAAGGTACGCAGTTTACTGTTGAATTCGAGTCCAAACCAGGACATACAGACTGGGAACAACAGTAGCACTGCAGCTCGTGAATGATATGCAGAACACCGGTATAGTGTCCACCTACCAGCTTGCCTACCGGGCAGCGGCATGAATGGCACAAAACGAGGGAAGGCGCTAGTCGCACCGCAAGATACGCATCTCCGGAGGTCCAATTCGCCCGGAAATACAGCCTAAGCTGGGGCGCCTGTCGGTCCTGATAGCTCCGGCTGCTACACTTTTCGAAGAAAACATCATTTACAAACACCGAGGCCAGGCTGCGGCTCGATGGCGCGAGTCGGGCTCGCTCAGTTATTCTGAACTTGAATGTCGCAAGGGCGGACGATATATACTCCCCTAGATTACTTGGTCAAAACACCAAATGACCCTAGACCTGGGGCGAAACGGGAACGGCAGGCGCGACTATGGATAGTAAGCAAGGACTGATGACCAGCGTGAGACAGTAATGTAGTATAGTACACCGACAAGCAGCAAGGGTGGACCATGCGATTAGACTGGGCCGCCGCAGTTGACGCAGATCCACAGCTCGTGCTTGGGACTCCTGGACTTAGAAGAGAGACTGATCAGTTCATTATCTATCATTGCTTCTTCCAGCTCATCCAGCCACCTCTCAAGTTCCTTCTTTTGCTTTACAGATAGACCTGAGCTGGATCGAGCTTGGTTTATCCAGCTCCTTGCCTTCAGGACATGAGCGGCATTACCAACGATGCCATCTTTCGTTGGCCGAACAATTTGCTGTTGAGCAAGTTCGACTAGGTCGTTTCGGGCCTGGGCCTCCATAAAACTAAGAGCGCTGCCAAGCTTGAGCGTAGCTGCCTCCTGCAGGAGACTATCCGCAGGCTTAGCCGAGGATCGTCCCTTTTTCTTGCGGGAATAGGAAGGCGGGCGATGATCTGGTGTTGAGAGCAGGAGGCCACAGCTATGGTGTTGCTCGGTGTCATATTCTCCAACGGCTGAGGCTTGCGCGAGGCAATCGTAGTGATACCATGTCCCACATGTTGCCTGGGGACAATAATGCATGGGGTTCTCTAACTCATCTGGGTTGTATTGGCCATCACAAAGGCCACAACGAGTGGGGACAAAGAGAGGCTACGCCAAGCAAAAATGAGCCTGATGTTGACGAAGTAACCACAATGTACCCACCGACGTATGCCTCTTTTTGTAACATTCTCTCATATAAAACGTCTCGCGGGGAATAGGGGCCTGAGCAAGGTTTGCGTCGTTGTATGTCATAACGTGGGCGGACCCTGCACGCCGTGTAGGTGTAGTTCGGCAAGTACTGAGAACAACAGGCTCACCGTTTATACATGCTGTGTCAGCTATATCCTCGTCGTCAGACAAACAGCGCTCATAACGGCCGAAGTGG